AAAGTGTCTTTTTTTGTCCTTTTTATTGTCTTTATTTTGATTAAATAGTACTAGAAATTATCGTTCGTATTTAAAATGTGACTAGTAAAAAGAAATGTATTTGTACATACATTCTTTTTAGTCTGTTTAGTTTTCTGGAAAGTTAGATTTCATCTTATCTTCTTGACCAAAAGCAGACGCTTTTGGAAGAAAACCCACACTCCAATATTTAAAAAGCTGAGCCAGGTATGGTGCTCGATTTCACAGCTGTGGAAGTAAGTTCTCAGAGAGCCAGCAGCTAATTTTAGGACTGAAAAGAAAAGCAAATGAGATCATAACTTTGGTAGATTCGAAAGAACAATGAGAAGCTCGGCTCTTCATCCGTCCAATGGCCTGCTGCCCATAAGAACATTCAATAGGGACAAATAAAGAGAACATAGACAAGCCAGTTTTATGTGAATCAATCTGTGGTCTGACTATAGAAAGACCTCAACACTCAAACTAAGGTTTTCTTTCAAAGGGATCAAAGTCTTTCATGCAAAAAAGGTATGGCCTTGATGACATAGTTATTAAAATGTTACTGATATGAAAGGTGTTTTATTTTTAAAAATGAGAACCTAAAATTCACCGATAACTACATTGACTGACATTTACTGAAACAGCAATGAATTAAAGGTAAAAGCGAGGGAATAATGGGGTGTGTGAGAAAAGGGGAAAATGAACATAAACAAACAAATGCAAACATAATGCCATAAAAGGACAGCAATGGGATTTCCTAAATGGTTTGGGGCCCATCTATTTTTATTCAATACTGCACCTACATGTGCATCTATTGTCAAATAGCTGAAAAGCTCATTTTTAATTCCAAATGAAAAATGTAGGCATGGCTCCTTATTGGGATCCTCTCGCTGCACACTTTCAGTGTTTATGTACCCAGTGAGCCTCGGTTTCAGTGGCAAATCATTTAGTGTCCTTGAGCGATGTGGACAGGCCGTAATCTCGAGAGCAGGTAGGATGTACTGTTGTTCAAAAAAGGACTTTTTTACAAAAAAACTGTCCACCGTACCTTTAAGCCTCTGTGAAATAACCAATTTAGCACTTTCAGGTGAAAGAAAGCTGATCCGCTGGCTTTGTCTGTCTAATTGTGGGATTCTGTTCATTCACAGATTTGTGCATGGCTACAGATTTCAATCACTCTACACATTGTTAGTCCCACTTCCATCAGGGAAAGGATTCAGGAACATTAAGTCCAGAACAAATAGACTCAGGAACATTTTATTTTCCAAAGCTTTAAAAGGCAATCCTCTTTATGCACACAGATAGTTAAAAACCCTTGCTGATAGTCATTTCCTGAACTGTTTCAACACTTTCTGTTTTAGTGCTTACTAAATTTCACATACATCTGTTTTTTTGTTGTTGCTTGTTTTCACTTTTTTGGTTCTTTGTTTTTAAGTGTATTTTATGAGCATTTTAAACAAGTGTCTTAGCCTCATTTCATTTTTGCGGCCTGATCTTTAGAAGTTTGAATATACCAATGTGTTTGTGTACACACAGCAGAGATGCAAAGTGATTTGTATTTGATATTCAGCAGACAGAGTTTATTTGTCTTCATTAATATGCAGATGACATTCATGATTTTCAAGATTTGCAAATGTAAACAATTACCACTAACCTGGCATAAGCCATAATGCCATGTAGAATTCAAATTGATCTACACACATCGATTTAGAAAGCCTAATGTCCAAAGTGTTGACAAAAGGGAGCGAAATTCAGTAAAATCTTTTGATTGGTTACCTGCCTCCCATGTTGAGTTTAGCCAATCACAGCAAAAGTAGCAGCTTTATTTATTTCACAACTAGTGGAGTTGACTGGTAAATCAAACTCTTACCGAATCCAGTCGGGAGAAAGAGCAAACATCTCGTCCATCCATAATGGCACAAATGTCCTTTTGCTTAATTTTCAAAATCAACACATGATATTCCACTTAGAATCGGTGCAGCCATGTTTGTTTTGCTTCAGCTTTCCACCTCTGATTGACTTCATAAACGTCACTGCATTTCACTGGTCCAAAACATTTCTGTGTCGAGGCTAACGTATCTGCTGGCCCTTGGTAAGATGTATTTTTGGGATTTTTGTGAATTTTTATGTCAAAAGTGAGCTGCACAGTGACAGCGGTACACTTTTGTATTCATAGTGGCCACAACAAAGGCATTGGGACAGTGACAGTGATGGTGCAATCACCAGACAAAGACAACATTCTCATGTTTTATGATTTAAAAAAAATATTTTGTTAACTTTTTAATTTCGTTCATTTCAATCATTTATTATTTATTTATAATCTTTTTATTTATTTAAACAATAATTTTCATCATTCATTTTTCAATCTCGTACTTCATAGCTTAGAACCTCATCTTTCTCAAAAGTAGCTGTTTAACACACAATCTGCTTATTTTAATGGAGCAGAACCAAACCAGTTTGCAAGTTTTAACAATTCCACATCAATTTCTGTAGAACACCTACTTATTGCACATGCAAAAAAAAAAAAAAAAAACTTTGAATCTTGTCCTTGATTTGCCTAAATGTAAGAGCAACTATTTAAATCTCTCTTTTTAATAGACACACCAAGGATACCAAAAGCTAACAAAAAGTATTGACCACCATTAAAAGAAATGTTCACTGAAGAGTTAAAGCATTAGTAACCAATCAAAAATCAGCGAATAAAGAAAATTAACAACCAGCAAAGGTCCGGAGACATTTTTGTTTGGGTTTGAGACAAAGCCATTCTAAAGCACATATAAAGGTGCTCATTTTGAGCCTGGATTCATATTTATTTTTGATTCTGTTCATGGTGGAGAATCCTGCTTCACAGCAGCAGGTTGAGCCAAACATCCTCTAAATGTTATGGGTCATCTTTGAGCACCATTACACTTTTCTGTCACCAGTTCACCGCAGTTCTTCCAGCAGTCCACACTTTCTCTGCTCTCTTTTTCTCATCATCATCTCCTTCTTTCTCATCGCCCGGCTTGCTATAGGTTTGCCTGCTTTGTCTAAAAGTAGCAGCAGCAGCAACACAAACTGACAGCAGCTCATTGGCTAATTTGGATCACATGCAGCCTGGTGCTGCACGCTCTGGAGGTCTTTACCGTATTAACAGGAGAAGCGGCACAAGTGAAATTAGACACTACCGTCGGACAACATGCAGACAATATCTAAGTGTTTAAGTAATCATCCAATGATTGAGTTTGCAAAATAAAGAAAGGAAGTTTGGTGGAAACCATCAAACAAACTTCAGCACGGAAAAAAACAACTAAATTCAAAGGTTCAGGCAGTTGTTTGGTACTCATAACTATAGGGAAGAGAGGAATGTTTCAATACATTTAAAATAAAAACATTGCACCTGTACATTATAAAGATAGTGAAATGGTAGATAAAAACAGTATGTATTCCATCAAAAATTAAAATGTGTTTGTTTTACTAATAAAAATCTGTCAGAAATAAACTCCAGTTTATTTGTTAAAGTGGCTGTCAATGATATAAACTATTTTTGCCTCCTAAAGACGTTCCAGTCAACAAAGCTAGAAAACCAGTGGCGGGCCAGTTGGCTGACAGCGTCTGTTGAAGCAAATAGACTTTCATGTTTATTCCCAATGCATCCCTTAGAACCTCAGCTCCATTACAGGCTGACCTCAACTGGCCAAAAACCTGCAATTCTTTCCAATGTTTACCTAAACAAATGACTTTAGTATGAAAACTGAAATGTCTACTTAAGTGATTATAATCCAGCCTTATAAGACCCCTGGGAAACAATACACCAATTTACAAATTAAATCAAATGCTGCTTAGATTTTGATGTTTACAGAGATAAATATTCAGAGTCAAGCCAATAAACAACTACTTAAAAAAAAAAAATGTTTACATACAAAATAAAAACATAACTCCTGTCTCTATACATGCATGGACAGGAGTTATTGATTACTATGAATACTTTGATAAAATAATAATTAAAAACAAACTCTTACTTCCATTTATTTTATTTTCCGTCCATTTTCTGTCACCCTTGTCCCAAGCGAGATCGAGATGGGTGCACACACTTACAGAACAGAAAGACCTAATCATGTACTATGTCTACAAATTCCCACACCAGTAGCTTACTCTGGTTGCATAAAAATGATTTCAGATAAAACCATGTTGCCCTGTGGGCGTATTATTAATTATTCCTGTGTTTTACACTTTGCTTTTGCTACCTTTGTTAGTAAACTTGTGAGTTTTTAGTATATAATGTTAAAAAGAGGTTTGATACTGAGCATGCAGACAGTGAGTAAATGGGAGATAACTCCTATTCACCTCCTATTTATGGCTCAGAATAATATGCAAACGCTGTAATTCACTGAAGCGGGAGCTAAAGTTACCAAAGCTGTGAGGAAGTACCACCAGCAGATGGTGACGGCATACAGTAATGTTTGTCAGATAATCACATCTGGTGTAAAAATGATTTTCAGGCTCAAAAAGGATAAGGTAAACACTTTCAGGATTAACGCCTGGTCTTTTTTTTTTTTTTTTTTATAGACATATTAATTGGCAGGGGTTCAAATAAAAAAATACTTTATCTTACATCAACAAATGCTTATTACTTAGTAGTTTGGTTTACTGCACCTTTTATAGTCTGTGATCAAAATCTTTATGGCTCACAATGGACTGGGCAAGCAATTTTTATTTTTCTATTTTCATAAAAAACGCAATAGATACCTTTTTTGGAATGCTCGACTTTTTAACTTGTTTATTCAACTAAGCAAGTTGAATAAGTTGATTGCACGAAAGTTGTTCCGTTATTGTTCCAAGCAAAGAACATACTTTACAAATGAAAATTTAATTAAAAATCCAATTTAGAAATGACACTTGGAAAAAGTTGTTAATCAATAAAATGTTTTGAGTTAACTCTGAAAATCTGGCAGGAACCATAGGCCATCAGACAGGAACCCACCGCGGCATATTTCACAGCAGATGGGGCTGAGCAGACCTACCTGTGACTGTTTTGGTCTTCATGGGGCTGCTTGCATAGTCTGAGGCCTGATTGGAGGGCTGTATGCCCAGTGGTGCACTCCCCACAGACACTTCATCTTCTCTCCTCTTGGCCAAAGGAACTGGACCTGGATTCTGTAAAGATATCACAGCATGACTGAAAACTGATGATCACATAAAAATAAAATAAACTTCTAAGAATGTTTCATTTTTCTTTGCTCTCTTTCTGAGGATAACAGGACAGGAGTAAATGTGAAACTTAGGAGAACGATACCTGGACTGAGACCATCGCTTAAAGGTTTAGCTTAATATTTTGCTTTTTTTCCTTTGTTTATTTTGTGCATTAAAGGGGTGATAGAATGATTCTATAGGGTATCTGGTGCTGGTCCTTAAGGTCTCTGAATAGGGTGTGTAACATTGGTTGGGCTGAAATGGAATATTTGCTGTTCTATGAGCAAATATGAGTTCTATAATGCAAGCCTGGTTAAAAGCCCTAGAATGAAACAACACGTTTTCTTCCTTTTATGGTATGCTAATGAATATTTAGATGAGCTGTGCGCTGATTGGTTGGTTTACAACGAGCGAAGCTGCTGAGCAAAGACGCATCATAGCAACAAGCACTCACTCACTGAAACATCAAATTGTTGATATGGTAGGGTGACCAGATGTTCTCTTTTTCCCGGACATGACCTACTTTTCATAATTAAAAAAATGTCCGGGGGGAATTTTAAAATCGTCCGGGATTTTGGTCGACTATAGTGCACCATCTGCTGTAAAATGAGTCTTATATTTTTTTTTTTTTTTTACTGGAGGATTCAACCTATCCTGTAAAAAAAGAAAAACAACCCACTGGACTTGGTTTCCAAGTTTGAAGAAGTTTCGCTTCCCATCTAGGAAGCTTTTTCAATTCGCTTCCTGGATGGGAAGAAAAACGTCTTCAAGCTTGGAAACCAAGTCCAGTGGATTGTTTTTAATCTCTTATGGAATGCCAATGACCTGGATGACTGAGAACCTTCACCAGCAGGATTCAGCCTATATCACGGGATGTACAGCTTTGAGTGGTAACTAGGTGAATGTAAGAGAGTAAACCAAAACTACTTGCTTATTTTTCTGACTAATCCAATCAACGCGCTCTCTGACAACCAGTCGCCTGGAACCCTCGTTAAACAGAGCATCGCTTTGGACAGATACGCACAGGTTTCACAAACAACCTCCTACCCACACCCCACTCTATCTTGTTGTGCATGCGCAATCGAAGTAGTTCTAATCCGAACATGGTGCACAAATTATTGTATTGCCTGCACAGCCTCACTCACATCCAGTCAGCGGCCCTGCAGTCGATCAAATCAAAGCAGCATCTAACACAATCTGTTACTACAAGTACCAACTGTGCCCATTAAGATTAGCCTCTGTGTTATAAAACTTGTACAGTTTTCACACAAAATAAACAAAGAACTAAATAGTTAAAGTCATAGGGAAACAGCTGTTCCAACCATTGCAGTTCTGAATTCTCCCGGGTGGTGCCTGAATTTACACGAGTGAATAAAGTGAATGTGATTGGTCGTTTATTAAAGGGGTGAGGTTCTTGCGGCGGAAGATTCGCAAGCTTTTTGGTTGTGGCCGGTGTCTCGGAAGCATCTTGCTAACCAGTGCTAGTAGGTTCCCAATGGGAAATTCCATTGGGACCAAGTAGCACTAAATTGGTGACTTAGAAAAGACACTGTCAAGGAACGCTATGGACAGAGGAAACATGCAAGAGGAGGAGAGTTTTAAGTCAGAGGTCGAGGATGAGTCTCCTCAGTCATACATTTTTTATTTAGAGGAGGAAAGCGGGGATGAAGATGTTGTGGAAGAGGACGCCAGGGCGGCAGAAGCTTGGTTTGGTGTAGAAGGCTTACAGCCGTACATGTTTGAGCCCTTGCCTCACAACGCTGCCAGTTCTGTTAGCTCTACGCCTGCTGAAGACACAGACGTTCATCCCTGTGAACACTGGGACGGAACTCAATGGTAAAGTAAATTATTCTTATTTCATATTTCAACCTTGGCATATATTAACTGCGACATTATGAATCAAGATACTATGACTGAAAAAATTTGATTGACAGATGACCGTTGATGTATGACTGCCCTGCATAAGATGACGAAAACACCCCAACAGATTTTAAGACAGGATTTTTTTTAATGGAAATTTTCTAACTTTTGGGACAATATGGTCTGATAAAGAACAAATTTATATAAATGTTTAGAATGATTTGAAATTTAAATATGACTTCTCTACGACTTTAACAGTGACACAATCTAAACTCTGAAATGAAGGAAATATTAATACCATAAGTTCACACACATACAAATACATAGATGTGTGTGTCTGTGATGTTTTTGCACCTGATAATCTTTTCTCATTCCTCCCGAATGACATCGTTTAAGCTAACTCCTTCAGTTGAACACATGGGAGCATTGAAAACAGCCAAGGCAAATGCAGAATCCGATTTTTGGTTGCATTTCACTTCATTGCTCATTTCCCCAGCCACCCCTCCACTTATCTGACATCTTAAGTTTAATGCTAATGCTGGTTTAGGTTTACATTTAATCCAACCACACCTTCCCAGTAATATCCTATCCTCCCTGTCCCAAACTGCTTCTTACATTTCCTGCTCTTACTCCCATTGTATTGTATTTGCTTCCATCTCTTCAGTTTGTATCCCATCCCATTTATCTTCATTTGATTCTCAGTTTCACTTATTTTTGCGGCTTTTTGTTCAGAATCTTCATTTTGAAAAGGCCAGTTTGTATTTTTCTCTGCGCTCCAGAGAAATACCCTATATTTTAGCTTCTTTTTAGGATTTCCTAAAATCCTTTGCTAAAAACATCAGCACCCTCTCTACTATCCTTCATATGCCTTTGACTGGCCTTCAACTGAAGCCTTTGTATAACTGCACTGGCCTTGAAAAGTGGCCTTGACAGGCAGGAGATGTATACAGCTTTACACAAACACACACTTTTGCTGCTGCACAAAAACACAAAACTGGCAAGCCTATCTTTCACATTGGCTGCAGTTCAACTAACATAGTCCCATCCTGAGGAGTGAGCAGATGTAACTCACTTTCTCATACACACATAAACGTGCATTCTAATTTATCCTACAACTATAACAAATATTTATTTTAGTGTAAATAATCTTAATGTCCTTTATTTGATGGCTGTGTCGTTCCTGGGATGTTCAGAGGGGAGGAAGGAGCTCAGATCTGTTTTATTTGGTTCCAACTGTGATCTGAATCCCAATAATAATGGAGTTACACAAAAATCAATGTTTTGTAAATGAGAATTTTAAAAGACAATGCAACACAGAAATTAAACTTTTCAGACACTTTGGAGAGAGATTTTGACCTTCTCTTACAGTAAATCAATTGTTTTAAATATGAAAAAAATCCTGATTAAATAAAAAGAAACCATAACTCCCTTTTTTAAATTTATTTATTTTTTAATCAAGCTTGTTTGACCCAATAACTAACCCATAGTTAGCACCTTTTGAATGTTTTGTAAAGTGTCATGTCTCCATGACAACTGGTTAAAATCCAGAAGAGCTGCCACCAAAAAAGGAACATATAAAAATGGATAAAACTATCATGATAGAGACTGAGATACGCCATTTATTAGTAGTTCCTGTCTCTTTTTTTCTAAATGGTTTGCATTTAGTTAGCATTGAGTTTGCATTTTCCTGACATTTTGAATTGAAAAAACTTGGAAACAATGTCCAGTAGATTGTTTTTAACTTTCTTTTTTGGAATGGAGTCAGAGTAAAAAAAATATGCACAACCATGAGAGAAGTTGGAGGGGATTTTGCTGCCATTCGGCTGGCTTTTAACTGGGAAGGGCCATTTTGAAATGCTGCTACTGTATATTATATATTATGATATGTATGATATATTAACATATTTATTAGAGCCAGAGCACAGTTGTTTTCAAACTGCAACTAATGCGCACCACAATTCAGCTGGAGCCAAACCGAGAACACCTTCTACTTTGATGCGTATTAGAGTCCAATACTTTCAATACTGACCTAAATGGACCCATAATAACCCTAAATGAAGTTATCACCAAAGTTTTTGTAATGGTTTTCTTCATTTTTGAGTTGCTTAAGAGAGTGGCTTGTAGGGGTGGAACGGTTCACAAAATCCACTGTTCACATATGTTGATTGTTGCCTTACATGTTGGACATGTTGCCATTAGCATAAACAAAACGTGTTGCACGATGCTTGCGCACTCTTGCACTTTTATCCACAACTTTCTTTCTGCCGTCACTCTAAATGCAAAGTGGTCCCATACAGCAGACCTATAAAGTGCTGCTGGCGCGTCTTCCAACGCCTGTTCTTTCCCACTCGCCATACCCACACAATTCTCCACAACAACTGATTTTTTTCTGCTACACCCGGCTAAGCTGCTTCTTCTTCTTGTTGTTTACTACTGGTGGTTGGCTTTGGTCGCAGTACCGCCACCTTCTGCTCTGGAGTGTAAACGCTTCGCCTATGAGAAAATGGAGCAGTGCATGAACCGAACGCAACACACGCAAACCGAACCGAGACAGTCGAACCGAACGGTTCTGACGGTTTTCATAAACCGTTCCATCCCTAGTGGCTTGATAAACTTCATCTCTCAAAGTAAGCACAGTGTTACTCCATTCCCTTTTAATATTTGGAAGTTGGTCTGAATTGCTTTTTTTTTAATAGGATTGGTCAAATAGGAAACTATTTGATTCCCATTGAAGACTATGGTAAATATTTCAAATTATAACCATAGAATTGCCTTGATATACAAAATAATATGATTTTAGACGTGCAATTCAAACCACGAATAATCAGTTAACTATGAAGCTTCTGCGATTAACTGCAATGATTTGTCAGCCCTACTGTGTGTGTGTGTTTGTGTGTGTGTATATATATGATTTTTTATAACTTACTTTTTTTTAAATATATTGACAGATTATTATATCTACTTGTATTCCTTTTTAACTTTTTTAGATTGAGTTTTTAGGATTGCATTCGTTTCAAATTGGTTTTTTTTTTCACAGATCACATTCTCTTTTCATTAGGCACAATACAAACACTCCATCCTGCCTTAAGTGTTTCTGTTGCAGCTGATAGAAATGTGTCTTCACTCATCACTCCAGAGGAAAGCCTGTGCCCAAAGGTAAAGAAAATGGGTGCATGGTGCATCCTAAGGACAAAACCCCCAGACCAAATATGAGCGGAGTGGTGAGCAGTTCAATGCAGTGAGGAATGCTCTGATCTTTATATTAGAGAAACCAAACAATCTCTCCACAGATGCATGGCCCAACAAACACAGGAGAGCTACCTCCTCTGGACAAGACTCAGCGGTACATCTACACCTTATGGACAAAGGACCAGACTTATGGACTTTTGAGGACCAGAATGTTCACATTTTGGACAGAGAGGATAGGTTGTTTTTAAAGGGGCGTGAAAGAAGCCATCTATGATAAGAAAGAAAAACATTAAACAGAGGGGGTGGACTCAGATTTCAGCTTTCAAAAATCTAGAATACAGCAATAGAGTTGATTTCTTCCCTCTATCATTGCAACCCCCACCCCATACAGGGGACCAAAAACACCTCGCCTGTTCAGCCAGGGCAACAGTTCCCTGTAACTACCCTCTTTCAGAGACATAGACAGGTATCGGGTATTACAGGCAAACAAAGAACTCAAACAACCCCCATTCTTAAGGGGCGGACCTGTTGGTACGATTCAATTTGCATGTTTTCTAAGTCAAAACAACTCTATGTTTTTGGTCGACTCTATAAAGCCTCAAACTCTATTTCTAACTTTGAAAAAGCTTCCTGGATGGGAAGTGGAATTGCTTCAAACTTGGAAACAAAGTCCAGTGTGTTGTTTTTTAACTTTCATTGATAAGACTATGACCTGGATGACTGAGAATCTTCACCAGCATAAAGAAAAAAGGAAAAATGCAAATTGAAAAGCATACTATTCATAAAACTCAAACAGAAAAATACAAATTTGAACATATAGAACTGAGAAAAAAGAAACTTTAACAATAACATCCGACAAACAGTAAAGATACTGTTGAAAACTTTCTTTCCCTCAAGACGTTTTTCAGTTTCATTTCTGGATTCCCTTTCCTTATTTCTTTTCAAATTTCTATTTATAGAGCCCTTTTTTGCCTGCAACAAAATTGGAACAAAACTCACTCTGCAAATAAGAAAAAAAAAAAAAAAAAATAAAACAGTAAGTAAACAGCTGGTTACAAAGATGAGAACATGACATGGTTTCTGGTACCTGTTGCTGCTTCCTGCTGCTCCCTCTGTGAGGCTGATACAGTAACCATGTGCAGATGATTGGGTCCACATTTACAGCTATGCCCTGGACACTGACCAGTAGGACCGCACCTAAAAGACAAAAAACAAAGGAAAACATGTCATAAATCAAGCATAACGGGGAAAAAATAAGATAAAAAATAAATTCTTTACATCTGCAGATTAGCTTTGCAGTGGTTTGATAATGTTACCATAAAAGCAAAGATAAAATATCCGTAATAAAAGTAAACCTAGACCAAACCAATCTATTTTGTTATTAGAAGGGTTGAGCAGTAAAATAAAGATTCCTAATAAAAGAATCAGTGTATGATAATAAGCGAAAGTGACCCAGATCGTGGATGTTTTTCTTTTTTTGTAGTGCAGGTCATGCTGGGCTTCATGGACCTGCTGCCGGGTATCAAGCAGGCTTGTAGGAGTGAAGCTAGAAGCACAGTTTGTTTCAACTTCGCTGTTCAAAGTGGTATCACACTAAGCCAAGAATAACATTTTCTTTTGATAAATTTCAATGAAACTCAAGACTTTCATTGCGTTTTGGTCTACTCTTAAAAAAAAAAAAAAGACTCTTGATCAACAATAAGCAGGCCCTGAGGTAATGCATTAGGATCATATTAATAATGATTCCCATGCCGGCAGGATTAGTGGAGGCTCTCTGGCTCGCTGTGGAATGTCCCGGCATGACGATAGGAGGATGTTTTTGCTCTAGAAAGACTTTCAGCAGTTTAACGGAGCTTTGGATTAAAATCCTGATGTTCTGTTTCAGATCCTGTTCAGGCATCGGGGGCTGAACTGCAGGGAGAATGAACAAGTCTGTCTTCTTACCTCCAGCAAAGCCTGACTGCCTATAGCACATTTTACTGTAGTTAAACCATGGACACACTAACAGACGCACATCCACATATTTTTCAAACACTAGCTCTCCAGGTTGGTTTTCTAGGTTCCATTTCTGTTTGTGAACATCATCTGGTCTGTTCCTGTTTGGCTGTGACTCCATCCTGGAGAGAAATAGCTGTGCTGCTGCCATCAACACCTTTGTTTGTAGATGTTGGAGCTCTGCTTGTTTTTCAGTGTAGTCCTGTTTCTCTGACTGTGACTGGCCGGATGTGCTCTCCTCATCCTCTTATATGGGAGTTGGCTCGGAGCTCGTCTGCCTGGCTGTGTGTTTCCTGGACGCCGCAGCCTTTTACAGCTGCTTTTTGAATCCCTGTCGGCCTCAGCAGATGGCCGCTCTCACTGAGCCTGGTTCTGCTGGAGGTTTGTTCCTGTTAAAAGGGGGTTTTTCCTCTCCACTGTCGCTATAAGCATGCTTAGTAAGAAGGATTGCCTTTGAGTCATTGAGTTGATGCAATCAACTGGTTTTCCTTAGGTAGAAACTTTGAACCAATTTGACCGTATGATCTGGTTGAATTGTCTCTGTAAAGTGAGTAGCGGGTAGCACTGCCGCCTTGCAGCAAGTAGGTTCTGGGTTCGATTCCCCGCCCAAGGTTTTTCTGCACAGAGTTTGCACGTTCTCCCTGAGCATGCTTGGTTTCTATCTAGGTACTCCGGCTTCCTCCCACAGTCCATAAACATGACTGTTAGGTTAATTGTCTTCTCTAAATTCTCCTTAGCTGTGAGTGTGTGCGTGAATGGTTGTTTGTCCTGTTTGTCCCTGTGTTGCCCTGCGATGGACTGGCGACCTGTCCAGGGTGAACCCGCCTCTCAGCAGCCTGCTTGGGATAAGCGTGTCAGGAAATGGATAAATAAACTGAATTGAATTATTCAGATTAAAAGGATGCTAAACCAACAGGTAAATTACTCTTTAATATATGCATTTGTTTATCTTTGTTAATATTTGTAATTGCATTTAAAGAGTTTATATAAACATCCCTATTTCCAGATGTAATGTCGGGTTTTCCAATGGCCTTCTTTTAAATTCTCGCCTAAACCTGCCCTTATCCAGTCCTTCATCTTCTTACCCAAGTTTAGTTTTTTTTATAATTATAAACTCGCTTTTGCATCAATATTTGTAAATTCCTTTATTCCTCTACACATACTTATCTTTCATAAGTTATGACTCACGTTCTCTTCCTGACAAGGAAGTATAGCTCAAAAGTGTGGCTTGAACTTTTATACCACATTGTGGCTGCTTAATAGGCTTTGGCTGTGGCTACAGAGCTGAGGTTTGACTTCAAGCAGTTTCATCATCACTTTAGGACAGCGTGCGCATCATGGAACCCAAAAAGACTGGGAAGAGGCTGGGTAGTAAAGATGTTGTTTAATGAAATTATTTTCAACTGCGGTCTTTGGGATGCAGTGAGCCCAGTTTATCACATTTAGCCCAATCAGCAGAAATGAAGCACAGGACAATAAATTACAGCAGCCAGCAAAGGCATCCATCCATGGTCTAGGAAAATACTCGTCTTAATTGCTGCCTATTTATACACAGCGTCTTTCTGACAAACATGCAGCCAGATAGTTTTCTATGTTGCATCTACTGCTGAAAAAAATAACCTCTCAAAAAGCTGTTTTTCTTGTGTTATCTTTACTCATTTAGTCCATGTTTTAAAGATTGAAAGGCCGCAGGAATCTACTGCATACTTTTTCTTCTCGTTTTATCACTACTTTGACATGAGTGACGAATCCTTTGAAGCACAAAGCACCATGAAAGGGCCTTGCATGCTTAAAAGGTGACCTCGACAGCAGGCCGACTGTTGTTTTTGTCCCTCCAAGCTAGCAGGGTGGTATATGGGTAATTACACACAAGTGATGACAATGATAACAAAGGTGTTTTTCTTGCTTCTTAAGTAATTCCTGAAGAGAAAATACAAACAAAATTGCACAGTGGCCTAGACTTTGAAACTATGAACCGTTGACTGCTGTATGAAAATAAAGCAAGCATCAGGTTGCCCGTGGTGCTCATTAATGTCAAAGGTGTTGTTGTGTTTTTCTGCAGTGGTAAAATAGTAATAGAGCTAAAAGAAACAGGGGGAGCTGCTCGTGTTGTTTTACGGCTCTGTGACATCAGGCTGCTCATGGCCTCAGGCTACATAGATAGGTCAAACCAGTAGACTTATCTCAACTCATATCAACTTCTTTCTCCAAGTCAGTCGTCAAGGAAATCTAGGAGCTATAAAGCTTTTAAGTTTGCTGTGGGTTTGTGTGCTTAAACAAGTAACACAACCTATTGGGGACATATTTGAGAATAGAATATGTCTGTTCTGACATTTAAGGAATTTGGAGCTCTTAGGTTAGAGCAAGTTCAAAACCATGTCCCTTATTTAGCGCCAAAGTTCTGATTGGGGTTATAAAGGGCGCAACCTTCCAATTAGAGGGCCATGACCTCCACGGTAAGCAAAGGGTAGAGACACATAGGAGCTGCTTCTGAACCCCAACTGCCCCCCAGGCAGATTCCTGGAGGTGGGGGGGGGGGGATTTTTTTCTTCTTTTTTTTCTTGTTGTCCCAGCCAGCTAATCGCCCCCTCAGAATCGCTTCATTGTTGGATGTGAGGCAACACAGGGACTGTGCGTCCACCTTCTCTAACAGAAAATAAATAAATATAGGCCAGCCCGTGTCAGCCAGATGACTTCTGACAGGTTTGGTTAATTTCTAAGCCAAGTAGCAAAACAAAACATTACGCCAGCGAGCAGAGCATACACCGCCTTTAATTGCTTTTCCGA